TAGGGAAGAGGTTTCATTTCCATACAGACACAGAAAACCTGCATCTTCATTGGAGCTCTGCTGTCATTTGTTGGATCACCTCTATGTTGCCAGAAACAAACTAAGATAGGTCCACAGAACACCATACTTAGATATACCATTTTTTGCCCAGAAATAATCACAGAAATCCAGGTGGAGGCCAAGAGGAGCATTACAGAGAGATATCTCCTGTAGTCTGCCACAGTTCCTCACTCAGTCTCTCTTCCAGAGCTCCACAAAAGGATAACTTACAAGGCAGGAAAGTGCAACAATATCCTAAAAGCATTTTTCTCTTCCTCTTACCAGCTGAAATTGAGGTGAGAGAATCTTACCACTGTAAGGACAAACAGATCACCCAGACTAGAATTAGTGCATAAGGTATGCTTCTAATCGTAATACTGCATAAAGAAACATACCATTAGTTATCTACAAGACTATATATTACTTATTTGGTCTTTGAACCATGACAGCAACACACCATGTCTATTAATACTAACTCCAATTACTGACCTAGACAGTCTCTCCCATGAAGTGGCTATTGCCAGAGACAGGATACTGGGTTAGGCCGACCTTTGGTCTGAGACACACACCTTTCCTAACGTCCTTGGAATCTGTGATTGTCCTATGATTTTTACTTACAAAAAAAATTAACAAGTAGAATATTCCAAGTTTTCTGATACAAAGATCCTTCAAGTAACGCAAACGGCCCCTTTTCAGATTCAGGTTCCTGTGCAGCTGCTGAATCCACACTACTTTATCAGCTGTGATCTTCCCAAAGCAAATCTTTGCAGAAACTTACAAATGTGTTCCTAGAGCCAAAATCAGGGGAAAAACTCCATCTTGTTTAAATAGCATCTTTAAAATTACACTACAATTAGATTTTGGAGGTGATTAGAATAATTTATCTTTTTTCTTTCTAATCTAACTTTTTATCCTTTACAATTTTATTTTTAAACAGTGCTGGATTTCAATTACCCACTAATTTTAATGAGTATTTTATGCTACACAAACAATCACATATTTAAATCTCGATATTGTTATAAGTTAGAAACATGGTAAAATACACCTGTTGCAAAGCTTTTCAACTTAACAATGAAATATGAATACTTAAAACAAAACTGAATAAATCAGATGAGTAAAGAGGAGTGACATTATGACTTAGTGACAGATTTCCCTCCTCTTTCTTGAGCTACACATTGAAAAATTAAGAGTATTTGCAGGGCATTAAGTTTTTTGATACATCAAGAACAACCGAAATACAAAATGAAATGGATCTCTAGCATTCAGTCCCATTTAATAGAAAACAGTTTTAGTCCAGTAGCAAACAAAATGTAGTTTCTTCATGAAGATACGGAATAAGACACTATCCTGTAAATCAAAACAGGATACATGGAAATATGTTTCTGTGAACACTAAGTGAAGTGGAAGTGTTACAGTAAATAGTCTTTATTTGCTGAAGAACACTAAAAATTTTTAAGATGACCTTCCTGTCTCACCTTTTAGCACATTCCTCTCTTATAGTTTGTTCCACAAGCATTACTGTTTTCACACACATAGAACTGCCACAAGTCTTACTGAAGTAAACGAGACTTGCAAGGAAATACAATCTTACAAAATGTTATTAAATTGTGGTTAGCATAAGTGGGAGAATATTATTACCTCATGTCTGATAGTCTCTTTTGGTAAAGCTTCTATTACAGCAAGAAGAGTTTCTAGCCATGCACTGCTGACACCTGTTAAAGAAATGAATTATATGTTACGTTGTACATACAATGAGTATAATAAAATATACATCAGTTTTACAAAATTAGTTCCCACTTTTTACATGCACCTCTTCAAGGAGCTATATATCTAAAAGCCACTAAATTAACATTCAAGACTTTGAACTAAGAAGTAGGATAGGTGAGAAGCAAATTCTGTCCCGATTCCTTTTACCTTTTCAATTCCCGTACAAAAATAATAACGATCCTGTTTGTTTTGAAAAGATAATTACCCTCATTTAAAAGTATATTCTTTTCTTATGCCCACTGAAACTTTCTCGTTTTACAAAAGGCTGGGGTTTTTTTCCCCTTGTATCCTAAAAATAGTGTCAAAGAAGTTAAGAAAAACTAATCATCACAGAAGAAATGTCAACAAACCTCCCTCCATTTTCTCAGCCACAGAATTCTGGTACTTCAGAAGAAGCTTGGACTCAGTAATAACTTCAGGATTTAGTCCTTCAGACAAAGTGGTATTGTTCACTTTGATCTGAATTGCATTCAAATATTTTTAAAAAAATGTAAGTGGTCAGCATGCAAAAGTCTTTTCATTCATGCAAGTCTAAATACAAAGTCAAGGTGACTGCACTCACTGTTTTACACATTATTGTACGGTCACTAAGGAAACAAAACATATAGAAGTAATCAGTCATCAGTACAGTTGTACAGCCCTGACCTGCATCTCTGTGTTCCAGGTTCTGGAGAATGATGTGTAGGAAGGAGTGGGAGTACGTATGAATGGACACTGACTCCTCTTGCAGAACAGTCAAAAACGAAACAGCAGCTGTTAACTGCATTTCCACTCCTGCAACGTGCAGCACCTCCTGTATAATTACAAATTATATCAATTTGGAGCATGAGGCAAAAATGTACTGAAAGAACATTCAAATTTTTACATTCACTTCTAAGTTTACCTTAGTTTACTACAAAATTGCCTGTAAAATTATTTTCTCTTAACAGCAATTACTTGGAGAAATTAAAATCTTTTACATTATAGCACAAACCTTTTAAGAAAAATAAAGTTAATTATAACTTTTTTTGTGACTTTCAGTTTCATCAATGCATATGTGTGGATTTTTCTACTTCAGAAAATGACAGGTAAAAACAGACCAGCCAACAATTGCACTTCTGCTGTTAATGCACATGAATTAAAAAGAAATCTTTCATTCATCCAGTGAGAGATACTAACACAGCAGACAGCAATTTGAATTTCGTCCCTTGCCAACTGACATGTAACACAAATGAAAATGTATATATGGATATATACATATATAGATATAGTCTTAAGAATAAAGCAAGATGAACTAGAATATATATCTAGGTAACTCAGCATTTACTAGTACTTTGCTTTAACAGAAAAGAAAGAATATAATTAATTAGGCTGTCTTTAAAAGCAGTAATTCAAAAGTTAAACAAAGATAATATGGGAACGAAATATTAATAAATTTTTTGAATGAAATAAAAAAGCAATTTAAATTCAGACTTATGCACATGCCAAAGACCTTGCAGGATGCAATCCATGACATAGCATTCATTGTAAGTATATACATATCTATTAGCTAAGTGAACATTCAATTTGTTTGTTTCCCTAAACATGTATCTCTGTCTCATGAGAAAATACAGTGTGTTATTCTACTACTAAAGCATTACACTCATTTTACGACTGATTCCCAACTCGGTAAGAGTTTAAAGCCCATGCTTCCTATTTAACACTATAAATACGTGGGTTTGTTTCTTTTTTTAAAGTGTTTGAGATGAACAGTGTTTTCTCAGTTCACATATCAAAAATTGACAAGGTAGTATTTTAATTTAAAAAAATAAATCAGCCTAGACCAGATTAAGTAAATATCCACTATGCACCTAAGCATTATATAGCAGAGGAATTTTGCTGAGAAAAGGCAGTTTGCAGAGAACATCTGATAAATTATTTAGTAGACTTTGCTTACTTCAAAGTAAAACAACAAGAAGTTTTCATTACACAAATGTCAACCAGTTTGTATGTGCAAACGTACAATTTTTAGTTTATCTGATTTCAAAAAGAATCATTATTTATCTCTCAACAGCTGTCTCAGTTTACAGCCATGTATATTCGTAAAAGAATTCTCTGTGCCTCTGCTCCCCCAAATGAAAAAAAAAAAAACCAAACGAAACCAGCCTTGTGCAGTTTACCAATCAATTTTGGTAAAATCCTTGCATTCAATATCCATGGAAACAGCCCTTTTGTTACCTCCACAGCCTATCTCTGTATTTGTTCCTCCATTGTTATTACTAATGCCACAGCCAAGAGTAAGGACACCCACCAATCTTGTACTTTGAATGTTCCTGGGATCAGAATGTCTATGCATACTGTTCTGGGAGTTTGGCTTACACTTGTTTAAAAAAAATATCCCCCAAATTATCAAAAGAACCATCTACACACTGTAGATGCTAAGGCACCGCTGCAGACCAGAACATAACGTATCTGAATTCAATATCATACACGTATTCACTTTGTATGCAATGCAAACAGGGTTACTTACCATCAAATACAGCTTCCAAATAGTCTCCTCCACAGATCCACACAACTCTGGATAATCATGTGTGAGAACACATTCTCTGGATGTGCCTCCTCATGGACCTCGGGAGACATTGAAATGTAAATTTCTAGACTGCTTACACACCTGCCTGTATTGATGTTTGCACTCAGAACTGTACAGTTCCACATATGAAAATGTATGGGTCTCCTCATTCCAGTTTCACTGAACTTGTGTGACTTAAATTTACTTAATATAAATTTATTTATTTAGAAAGTAATATGGTTTTCCATACATGGATCCTCCACAGATTCTCATTCTGGAGGAAAAAAAGCTTTTCCTGTCTATCTTATTCATACAAATGTATTTAATGGAATTTAAGGGTATTAGCATGTTCTTGAACTATCCTAATGTCTACAGGATAAACTCAGGCATCAAAACTTGAAAAAGTTAGAAAGCCTGGCTTATTCCAGTAATTGGAAAACAGAAAATTCACCTCTAGTTTAAAGCACTTTATGGCCTGCAGCAACAGAATTCTCTTGAAAGAATGCTGCAAGTAGGAACATAGTCAATCATTTTAGTAACTGCATCAATATGACAGAAATCTTCATTTAGGACTAGAAAGACACAGAAATAATGGAGATTACAGAAGCTCGAAGATACAATGAGGATGGACCTTAAAATCAATGTTAGGTATAAGACAGGGTGAAAATTACTCCACCTCTTCTTAAACTATAAAATCAACTAGGGAAAAAGAAAAGCTTTCAAGTGGAGACTGATATATTAGGAAAATAAGTAATGGGGAAAATGAGCTTGGAACTAATCAGACAGCACTGAATGAGGCTTGATGTATACGCTTCAACAAAAGGAGCCATAGTTTTCCGCAATCACAGTATTTGGAAAAACCTCTTTATTAGTCAATCTGATACACACCTGTAATCTCCCTCCACTGCTTTTGTGGCAGTGCCCAAAAACAGAAAACAGGGAAAATACTACTAACGTCATTTGAAAGGAGCCATTTGGTGCACAACAAGAAATGCTGAGAAGAATGTCTAACCTTTCCCTAAATCTGCATTTCAATGACTTTCAAGGTTCATGAGGAGGTGCATGCAGAAATCCAGAGCGTGGGGATCTCTATACAAAAGAACTCATACAAGGATGCCACTTCATTTTAACTATAGAATTTTAAAAAATATTTCATAATCTCATTCCTACGTTAACATCTAAATTGTATATGACGTATTCATTTTATTAGAATAACCAAAATACTGACACCCAATTTAATCATTACATCTGGCACAATTATCAACATATTCTATGTTTGATTTTGCTCATCTCAGGCCTAAAACACTTATGTTAAATATATAAAGGGTCTTTGATATAATTTTAATTTAAATAGTTTTTAAGGAACAATAAGCAATTTGCATATATCCATTTCTATATTTATATATAAAAGTAACCAAGTTTATCAACTTCTCATAAGTGAAATAAAAAACTGTAATGTATCCAGCCAGAACATTCCTTGCATTTATTTCTTCCTGTATTTGTTTTATCCTCAGCTCTAATAAAATACAGTATTTATTTTTGCATTGGGTTTCTGCAAGTATTGTTGCAGAAATAAGTACATTGGTTTCCCTACCCAGTTATATGGTGACAATACTTTCAGATAAATAGCACCCTGAAACTACTATATAACTCATTTTTCATGTGCAAATTTGAATTCACAAATAATTTTTCCCAATCTACAGAAGTGAAATCAAGTGCAGTAATTTAAGTCATCTTATTTCCCTGCAATGCCAGACTACATTTGCAAGACTCTAATCGCAGTTGAGTTCAATTATGCCTTCATAGACAATAATAGTTTCCATTAAATGGTCAGGACTATTCCTCCGATAAAAGAAAAAGAAAGAAAAAATAGGTCAAGTGGTTAATGATGCCAAATACCATTTTGCAGTTAAAAGTGCAGAGAACATGGGTAAAATAGAGCTGTTCTTCTATTACAGATTAAATAAATATTAGATAACGGAGCACCATTGCTTTATAAGTGTATAGCCACAGAAAGAAATTTAAGTCATACACATTCCAGAAAGTTTCAATTTATAAAGCTTAAACCTGAAAGGAACAATTAGATTTAAACTGACCTTATTATATTTCACTCTTTTACCTCTGCCTTGAGCCCATTAACTTACGTTCCATTTAATTTATCATCTGGAAGGCATTCAGTGTGGATTTAAATGACACTGCAAGATGAAAAACACACTACTTTTCTCAGTTACTTGCTCAAAGATTGATTTGATTTATTATTAAAATTGTCTGCTTCATTTCTAAGATTTCTATCTTCAATTCCTAACTCTTCTTTCTTCATATACTGTTTTTAGTTGAATGTCCTTTAATATTACACAGGAAGATATTTTTACAAAGTAATTAAGTAACACCTGATCTAATCACACTGAATTCCAACTCCCACCATACAAATATTTTCCAGACCCTAGGCCCTGATCATGCTAATCATCACCCTTCTAAATTTTTTTCTCCATCCCTATATAAAAAACCTAAGACTGGAATCAGAAACTGTATTCCCATATTAGACTTTTTATTACAGACAGAGGGGCAAAGGCTTCTCCATACCCTGACAAATAAGGGTAAAAAAAAAACCACACAGCGTTTCTTATTACTCCTTCATTTCAGGAAGAACTCCACTCTCAAAGCAGAAACACCAGAGACAAAAATGGTTGCAGTATGTTTAACAAAAAATAAATTTAAAAAAAACCCCTTTTCTTAAAGCCAGTAGGTTTGTTTAGGAAAGAATGCATTATGAACACCAGAATAACATGTAGTAGTAACTGCAGAATCTTGGTGTAAGTTAAAGGGTTTTCAATTACTTTGCAACTTCATGTCATTCCTTTTTCTCAAGCATTTTTTTTTTAATACATATAAATATATTTAAACAAACTACTTATTGACCTACATCTTATAGCACAGAACACAGTAACTAGAAGTAATTTAATGTTTTCTAAACAATCTGTCAGTCTATACTAGTCCTCAGTTCTGAGGACAGCTATTTCTTGGCCATTTGCTGAATTTAAATAATCAGACAAAAGTTGGAACAGGTCCTCTTAAGAAACAGGAGTTTCCTGGGATCACAGAAGTTTCAGGAGATAATATGAAGTTGAAAGGTAATATTCTCAGAATCACAGAATGGCTGAGGCTGGAAGGGTCCTCTGGAGGTCATCTGGTCCAGACAGCTTTTGAATACCTCCAGGGAGGGAGACAACATCTTCTCTGGGCAACCTGTGCCACTGCTCGGCCGCTCTCTGGTGAAAAAGTATTTCCTTATCTTCAGAGGGAGCCTCCTGTGTTTTGGTTTGTGCCCACTGCCTCTTGTCCTGTCACTGGGTACCACTAAAAAGAGCCTGGCTCCATTTTCTTTGCATTCTCCCTTCAGGTATTTATATACATTGATAAGATCCTCCACAAGCCATCTCTTCTCCAGGCTGAACACCCTCATCTGTCTCAGCCTTTCCTCATAGGAGAGATGCTCCAGTCCCTTAATCCTCTTCATGGCCCTTCATTGTACTCTCTCCAGTAGTTCCCCATCTTTCTTGTACTAGGGAGCTCAGAACCGGACACAGTGCCCCAGGTGTAGTAGAGTAGAAGGTGGAGCAGAGGGGGGAGTAGAGAGGAAGGATCGCTTTCCTCAAACTGCAGGCAATGTTTGTCTAATGCAGTCCAGGATGCTTTGCCACAGGGGCACATGGCTGGTTCATGTTCAGCTTGGTGGCCACCAGGACTCCCATGTCCTTTTCTGCAATGCTGCTTTTCAGCTGAGTGGCCCCAGCATTTATCAGTGCGTTGAATATTACTGAGTACATCTACCACGTAGAATCTAAGACTCCTCTCCAGTAGGGCTTGCATTTAAATATCCTACAGAAGAATATTTGCTAAGTAATCATGTTGAGGACACATTTATTCCTCATCTTTCAGTCAATCAATTCATAACAAATGAGCAGAATATTAACTCATTAAATTAGTTTTTCACAAATACTGAATTGTCTCTTGAGCAGCCTCTTAAGACCAGGAGACAGAGGGAGGATTCAGTTTAAGACTAATTCCACAGCAGTAAGAAATATGCCAAGTAATTTTTCATAATATACTTTTTCTGGAATTCTTTTATGAATATAATGTTAAGGTAGATGCCTTGAAGGTAAAAAAAAAATAAAATCTGAAAGATATATATCCACACACCTTTTCAATAAAAGAAGCAATTCACTTCTTCAAACCTTCAGCAAAGAAAACAATGAAATATAAACAAGAATTTACTAGAACAAACAAACATCATTTTCACATGGACTCACTTTGCTATTTAGTAATCACCTCTTTGGTAGATAGAAAACTATAAGCATGTGACCTTTGTTACTAATATATACTTTCTTACACTTGGCAATGAGTTTCTGATACAGATATAGCAAGAAAACTCACAGCAGCTACTACAGAAGACTTTTTCTTTGCATCCTTGAAGTGCTTGAGACAGAGAAGACAACATAGCTGATGAGATTCTTAACATAACTCAAATTTTCAGTTCAATGTATTTTAGATCATCAAATTCATATTTAGGTTGAGCCAGTAACTAAACTCCATCTTTCTGAAGTAAGTGATCTAAATACTCTTCTTAAGCATTAGTTGTTTCCAACAAGAAAACATTCCTGTTGGCAAATTGTATTAACAAGGGAAACAATTTAAAATTATATGGGGAAAACCCCCTAAATTCTACAAAGTCTCCTGGTAAAATCATGGCTGAATCACACTACTGAAAATGTCAAACATATATCTAAAAATGTGTGGGGAAACTGAGTCTGTCCATAAACTTATGAAAACAACTCAATGCTTTGAAAATAAAATTTCTACAAGAAACCCTTATGATTTTTACCTCTTTTCCCATAGAGAGCACATACATTCAAACAGCTACTACAGCTGAACAGCTACTAACAAACACAATGTTCCTTTAGCTAACAATCTGTATAAATTAGAACCTGCTTTATATCAAAGTGATCAATTGCATGAGACCAGGCAAGAGACTGTTCTACATCAAAACTTTGATTTAATCACACAAAAACTGTCCATGGTATGAGTAAAAGACTGACAGTGCACTGATCCAATGAAAAAAAACCCTCAGAAATTTGCTAGTACCAAAATAAACTTTCAGATATTTGATAGCCAAAGCAATGTATTTTTTCCACTGAGCTGGTAGCCTTTAAAACCACTGAAAATCACTCTAACAGGCAGGTAACATAATCAAAGCCTTAATTCCTGATGTCGTCTTACATAGAAATATTAGTTATTTAGAGTTGTTTAGCTTTACGGTTATTAGGCTTTGCATTTGCATTTGTTCTCATTTGGCTGAAGCTGCTCCTTAAACTACACCTTAAATGAACTTTTTCATTTCTTCTAGGCAAGGGGTCATACCTGGGGCAGAGTGGAAATACAGCGATTTTTATCTTCCTTTAAATCATAGAATCACTGAATGGTTTGAGTTGGAAGGGACCTTTAAAGGTTATCTAGTCCAACCCGCCTGCAGTGAGCAGGAAAATCTTTAGCTCAATCAGGTTGCTCAGTGCCCTGTCCAACCTGACCTTGAATGCTTCCAGGGATGGGGCTGCTACCACAGGGCAACCTGTGCCAGTGTTTAACCACCCTTATCATAAAAAATTTCTTCTTTATATCTAGTCTGAAACTGCCCTCCTTTAGTTTAAAACCATTATGCCCTGTCCTATCATTACAAGCCTTACTAAAAAGTCTCTCCCCATCTTTCTTATAAGCCCCCTTTAAGTACTGAAAGGCTGCAATAAGGTGTCCCCAGAGCCTTCTCTTCTCCAGCTTAAACAACCCAAATACCCTTTATACAAACATATCTGTATATAGAATTACTTCATAACATTACATGGCCAGCATGCATCTACCACAGCCAGCAATGACTTACGAAAAACGTGGAGGACAGCACATGAAACTTCAGCCAGCTAAAAGCAAAGTATACATTTCTGGGTAGCAGCATGAAAATCTTAACGTTTGGATAGAAGGAAACTGAGAACATCAAATGAACCATTATGACCGGCTGGCCCTCAAAAAGAGTCCTCAAAGACCTGTCAAAACACTGGTAAATCTTTAAAATATGTAAATAGTATTAATTCTGCTTTCTTTTCCTGTTGTAATATTTTTCAAAAAATATAATACCTACAATATTGTGTAAATTCAGTGAATCAATGTGGAAGATCTACTGAACATACTCCTAGAGAGTGAGTTTGCAATAAAAGCGGAATTTTTTTGCCTTTGTTAAAACACTTATACTGGCAGAAAAAGATACATTCAAACCTCAGATACATTCAAACGTCATTACACACAACTTACTCTGATTTTCGGTAAAACCCGACGAAGTGTTTCTGCAGGATTCTGTCGCATCAGGACTGGAAGATTTGCCACCACACTCGTTCCTTGGATATCCTGGCCAGAACTTACAAAAATATATACATACAAAACATTACTCCCTCGGATGGTGAGAAACTCACAGCTTTCATTTAAAAAAAAAAAAAAAACACCAAACAAACCAACAAACTCACATTACCCAGGTTATTCATACAACAAATCAAGAGAGGCACTACTTTTTTTATATAGTATGTAGTAGAAAAAAAACATGAAAAAAATACCAACCATAAAAGCTGTTATGTATCATGTCTAATATAGAATGTTACAATTTTTAGTGCGGCTTTGGAAAAAAAAAAATGTTTGAAAGATCTTTTCAACCTGGATGACTGAGGCATTGGTTTTGTGGAAGCTTCTGTATTATAACAATACAAGTGATAAAGCATAGGAAGGGGACAAATAGAAGATATAAATGAAAACTACACTCAATGTACAAAATTTTAAGAGAAATCTACCATTTTTTCCTTTTGTAG